CATGATTATTCGAAAGACGTTGAGGCAGCATTGCCCGGGGAAGAGACGGAAGCGAGACAGGAACTGAAGAAGCAGGGGGGGTAAAGGAAACCTAATTCCACCCTCTATGATGGCCTTGGTATAGAAAGGCATGGCATCCGCGGCCCCGAAGGTAGGAGAGTTCAACAAAGGGTTAAAGCCCACTACGTCCACGCTCGGGGGAATGCCATACTTAACCCTGAACCTATCGATCTGCTCCTCGCCTGTCACCTTGTATTTCCCTGACCCCGAGGGACCAGCCGATGGATTCTCGAGAGCAGGGCGACGACGAGGCATCTCTAAAAGAAAGGGAAGGAAAAGGTGTTTACTCTTGAAAACCTGAGGAAGTTCCCCGAGGGTTTAAATCAAGACGTACCGACCGGATGACACCACCATTCAATCGGAAAACAAAAAGGCTAGGAGGACGATAAAGAAGAAGGTTGTGAAACTCACCCGAAAACGTCAGAAACGGAGTTTTCCAGGAAAAACTTTAAAATGACTCGCACCGGAAAGACCAGGAGTCAACAATGGGTTTACTGGCTCTGTGATTTTGAGAGAAAGAGTAGTCGACGATGGCAGAGGAAACAAGAACTCCGGTGAACAGATCAGGAAAGGCGTATTCTGGGTCAAAAATCGGAATGGCAAGACGATGGAAACCAGAGAACCCCCTTTATATAGGGGGAAATTGTCATCATTAGGCGGGAGAACCAAAACAGCGCATTTAATGCGCACGACGTCCCAAGCCGGGGAAAGCTGCTCGAGGCCATAATGAAGGACGGATGGCAGTTGGAAAACCCTTCGTCTCCTTACAACGCGTGTCCTCGATGTCAGAAGATCGAAGGCTGGGGGGCAGTTGATGGGACTCTTCTGAAAAGCCCTAAGATGAAGACACGTGTCCTCGAGTTTTTTGGAAACAGTGTTGCCCGGATGTAAGCACCATCGGCGAAGAGTGTCCTTTACTCCGAGGTACCTCTCATATAGGATCACACATTCGGTGTATTATACAACAAACACGTGTCCTCGGTCACTGTGTACCTCGGAACATACCACCCTCGGTCCCCGAGGTTAGCCTTTCCTCGGTGCCGAGGGTCACTCCATCCTGGACGCTTCCTCTACTCCCGGATAAAGCTACTGACGTACGAGACATCAGCCTATGCCAGTCTAGACTATTCATCATGACCTCGTCTTACACAAGAAATGTCAGAACGTGCTGGAATACCGACGTCACAGCCAATAGGGGATGGACGCGTGGCAAATAATGTCACATCAGGAGCAGATAAACCGCATGGCGTTGCTGACACACGACTTGGGAAGGCAAACAAATTAATTGCACCCTTCTGTTGACGAGACCGCATTCAATGCGGTAAGGTTCGGATATGAAAGGCAATAAATGTTCCTATTACAGAGCATTTATTGCATCCTTCCCGAAAGGAGCATATTGTACCGTCGGCGTCCCGACGGCTCAGCATTGATTGCTCGGGACCCCGAGCAATCAATTAGAGAAGACATTCCTCATCAAATCAATACACACGCTACCTGTGCCTGATGATCACCTACTGACCACACTGACAGCAATCATGAGCTTCTAAGGTATAAATACTCCTCCCAAAAGGCAAAGCGGGTATGCAATCACAAACTCTCTACTACAAGATATCCTTCTCAGTGTTTTCTCCTTCCTCTCTCTCATTCAAAGACTGACTAGACCGTCGGAGGGGATACGCCGAAAAACACTCCGGCTCCCTTCTAACTTGTTCTCCTTTGTTCCAGGAAAACCTTTCACACACACAGGGTCGTTCGTCCTTTCCCAGGATCTTCCCTTTGCCGTTCCAGGTTGCCACCGTATCTTGCAGGCTGTTTCAAGCAGCGTGTTTGGCCACTCAACCGGCTCACCCAAAGTTCACCAGGGGAGAGATCTGTTCCCAATATTTTATACATCATGCAGGATCTAGCCCGCACAGTTTATATGATACTAAAACCGAACCCTAATTTCTGCCCAAATTTATGCATTGAGAGGCTATATTGGATTTCAAAACTCTGATTATAGTTTCTAATATATTTCTGAAGTTTTCTGTTCTAATTATGTACTTGGGATTTATCAAATTAACATTCAATCTATTTAATTTAAAATTTAGTTTCATAAAAAAAAATTAAATTGATGAAATTAGTGTTATTGTGATGAAATTAATATTTGAATTAATGAAATTAAATATTAATTTGATAGAATTGAAGTTCAATTTGATGAAACTAAATTCTAAATTAAATAAATTGAATGTTACCAATTTCTTTTCAAATATAGTTGGGAGAATTTATCCAAGAAATGGGTCAAAAAATGGAAAGATCAGAACATGAGAATAGATCTGGTACCAATACGGACTACTTATTTCAATTATTATGCTTTTAGAAATTGCATACTTGTACAAAGTTTCAAGTTTCAATTGATATTTACGGAATTGATCATGCCTTTCAAAAATGAAGATTTGAAGTGGTCTATAATTTATTGAGTACTCGGTATGACTCACACATTCGTGTACAAACTAGTGCAGACGAGATAACACGATTATCTCTAGTAGTCAATCTACTTTCATCATGACTTTAATTTGACGAAATTAATTTTAAATATTAATTTGGTGTTAAATTGATGAAATTAGTGTTAGTGTAATGAAATTGAAGTTCAATTTAATTTTAATTTGATGAAACTAAAATCTAAATTAAATTGGGGTGTGTATGGTAATTCAGAAACTATAGGGGTTAAAGGGTAAATAATATGATTGAAGCCTTGAAGGGTAATTCAGTAAAATTGTAATTTTGTTTAGTCCGTTAATCAACATAACTTGATAGAGGGCGACAGTGACATTTCCAAAATCATAATGGGTGTTCCTATAATTAGGCCAATCTCAAGGGAATGCTAGTGAAATTTATCCTTAATTTTAAGAAGCCTATTTATTTTTACCTATAAAATAGAGAGCCTAATCCAGGTGAAATGTATAAAAATATGATTACAAATTCCATTACCGCAAATATTCTCTCATTCTCTCTCTACTCACCATTGTGACTTTAAATCAAATGTCAGAAAGTCGAACACATACTTAGGCTAATTAGAGTGAACTAGTGACTTAGGCGATAGGCAAAAAACATTGAATTTCCTACAATCACCCAAGTTTATTATAAGGTTTGAGACTTTACAAAAACCATAGAATAGTTGGTCAAAAGAAAGCTACTCTAAAAGGGAATCTAAGGGTATATATCTATACACTAACTCACACATGCATATGCAGATGTGTCTAGAGTGGATGCTCTGAACTCTTTTTTTTTTTTTTCTGGAGTGTAGATGAGTGCTTTAATCCTTTGTTTTGTTGTATTTTAGTCACGAGTTGAAAGGAGAGAGAAAGAGAGGTGAGAAAAGGGAGGAAGACAATAAGCATCTGAATTTAGAGTACAACTTTTCTTTTCTTTTTAAATTTCTTATGTGGGACCCTATGACTTATTGGCATGAATTAAAGGAAATTCTCTGTTAAGGAATTATGTAAAAGCATGCATGTGACTGGATTAGAATTATCAATGGAGGTTCAAACATTCAATATTATCTATTAATCTCAGAGCCAGCTGACCATAATTTTTATGGGTTTAATCTTTGGTTTGAATCATATTATACATCTCTAAAACATGGGACATTTTTTTTATGGGCGGGCCTGATTCTTGGTTCATTAGTTTTACTATTGGACCGGGCCTAGCCATTCTGCGAAATAGCATTTAAGTATTATACCTGATAAAAATTATTAAGTCTTTTTTTTTTATACCATAGAAACATATAACTTAAAAAACGAGGTTCAAATCTTAGACATTATAGTTTGGAGGTGAGACTTTGGTCATTAGGCTAGCTCATGATAGCTCCATGTCTCATTATTTATTGATAAACAATTGAAAAAGAGTCCTCTTTTCTAAAAACCAAACAAGTGTAACATTCAACTTTTGATTTTGTTTTTCTTTTTTTGAGCAATTAGTCGATTACTAGTCTTGCATAGCAAGTGATCCGGGACTGTTATTGACAAACCGTGACGCAATCAAGAGGTAGGAGATGAGGATCCATGTACCTTATGTTGGGGGTACAAGTACTGAATCTAATTTCTAAAATCCCGAAAAGGCCGGCAGACAGATGATTAAATAGAAAGTGAGAAGAGCGGTTTTGTAGTCCCGAGTCCAATCATTGCATCTCCTCATCTACTGCATCTCTCCCTCTCTCTTATGTAAAAAATATTGGGTATAATGATTACTTAATATCATCGTATAATCCCGAGTCCAATCATGTTATTATGTTGAAATAATATAACGATTCAATAATAAAATAAATATTTTAATAACTACCCTATCATGTTATTTAATAATTACTCTAATGAGATTCACCTTATCTATTTATAAGTTTATTATTAAATAGTGATTGTTACGGCCAATATTTTCTTCTCTCTTACATACTTCCAAAGATGGAGGAGATTAAACATTTTAGCCATGTTCACCCATTCATCCTCAGGGAAGTGCATAAGGTCGACTTGTATTTTGCCTGCGATGGGTGTAAAAAGTCCATCTCAGATCTTGTGTTCTGTTATGACTTACGTCAAATCTATTTACACAAATGGTATGCAGAACTCTCACGAGAAATTAGAGACCCCATACACCCTTAGCATTCTTCTAACCATGAAGCAGTTTGTGAGGTATTCAAATTACACGTGGGCTCTGTAGAGAAACTCGGAGGCAATATAACGATGGTTTCTTCTATAAGTGTGATTATTTTTGTGAATTTTATATTTGCCTCCCATGCTTCCTGAAGAACTTATAATTACGCTTGAATTTCATGAGCATTCATTAGCCTTCTTATTCAGGCAAGATTCGTATTATTGTAATGTTTGTGATAAGGAAGATAAAAACTCGTCTTATGTATGTCACACCTATCAATTTTGGATTCATAAAAATTATGCTTCATTTCTTAGTACCACCCAGTTTGATGGTCAACATCACCGACTCGCTGTTGTCAAGCCATATTCATCGGACGTTACCCGGGAAGACCACAAGAGCTTCAACACCACCCTCTCGCTCTTGTCAAGCCACATTCATTTGACGTTAACAGGGAAGACTACTAGAGCTGTAGGATATGTGGTTCCTACCTAAAGCCAGAGAATTGGAAATATTATTGTGCTCTGGCCTCTGTGCGACTATAAAATCTAGGCAAAATGTTCAATTTCAGGGTCGAAGCTTTTGAGGTGAGTTCTCACTCTTCCTACAAAATCCTTACAATTGCTTTTATCATTACTGAGTAAAATTTGTCCTTGATATTTTGTCGTTTTAGAGGCGGTGAAAGTGGGAAAGAAGACAATGAACATCTTCACCCTAATCTGCTACATTTTCCCTTCAGCGATGCTTTAGCAGTCCTCCTTAGAGATTCAGTTCAACAGATTAGTCATAAAGAGATTAACAGAGAAACAATGATTGTCAGCAGGGGCTATTATCATCCGCTACTATTTTATGATGTGCAAAATAACACTGAGATGAAACACGACACAATATCATGCGATGACTATGTGCAACCGATCTCACTTCCGTTTTACACTTATGTTCAATGCAAACACTTTCTCCATATAAGTTGTAACATACCACTAACATCGAACGTCCACATCTGAGTGTATTCCCGCTCAAGCTCTCTCAGAGAATGAAGCCTTAGTTATTCTCTCTTTAAGCTACATCCTCTCACCTTTACTCGAAGGGTGAAGATCAAGGTTAGAAATTATATTTGTGGTCACATGTTTGATGATGAAAAGCTACTATATGAATGTGCAGAGTGTAATTACACGATTTGTTTGTATTGTATTGATCGGTACTATTAAGTTTTTCATTTAGTAAAAATTTATTTCATGTGTTGTGAATTCTGGAGAATAGATTAAGTGTCTTATATGGTGAGAATTATTACTTTTTTGCCATACACACAATTCTTGTTATTTTTATTTAAAAATTTTAATTTTTCTTTTAAAAACCATAGAAGTTAGACATTCTATCTTTGGAGCAAATTATCAATTTTAATGCCATGTTACCGCATAATTGTGGTCGATTCTTTGATATTAATAAATCAAATGGAGAATGAGAAGGTGTCGTAGAGTGTGTTGCCTTTGAATAAAGGTTGGGATCCTCAAGGTCATCACCACTAGGACTAGCATCCTTTGTCCTCTGTTTTCTTTTCATTATCTTTTTTTTTTTTTTGAATTTATACTTTGTTCATAATGCTTTTTAGGACTAAAGAAGCTTTTTTTTTTCCTAATGTTAAAAAGTGAAATTAACAACAATCAAGCATCAATCACACTCTCTTTCTTTCTCTCCTTGGTTAAAAAGCCGAATAAGATATTCTCTTTTTGGGCATAAAGGTGCAAACGAAATCCATTATCACTCTCTAACTTTATTCTAAAATCAAAATAACAATCAAACAATTTATTCTCATTCCGTCCCACCGAATCTCCCCTTTTTTATTTTCTCTTTATTGCCAATGAACTATTTTTGTAAGTCACTAAACACACTTGTATTAAGACACAGCCCATTAATTCTCTCTTTTTTTTTCTAACCGGTGATGTCTAGAGAGAATTAAAATAACATATATTTTCCCAATGATGTGGGCAGCACTGATAACTCATATTTAATTGTTCTATACTTTTGTGGCTTTTTTATTCCAAACTCGTGCTATGTTATTCTATAGGTTTGTATTTGTTTGATTTTATTGAAAGAAACAGGAGAACCTACCAACTCAGTGCGCTGGCACAATCTGACCATCTAGCCAATGCAGAGAGCCGTTTCCTGTGGAATTTCCTATCACTTCCCGTTTCCTTCTCCGACATAGACACATGGGGATCCAATCATTGGATGTTACTATTTCCATGCTTCCAAAGGAGAATCACAACCTAACAAATTTGACCCTTAAGCCCTCCATCTCCTTCAATCGCAAGGATGAAGAGATAGAAAGTTGGTGTTAGTGTGTTCATTTGCCTGATTGTGTTTTTTTGTGTTTGTGTATACGTTTCCTGAACAAATCAAAAAAAAAATTACTCTTAAAACACAGACAACAAAGAGAGCCGGACGAATTTGTCAAAATTATAATTCTCTTGGATAAAATATGAAAATAATATCAATCGATAAATACAAATTGATCATAGTGTCTATGCAAAAGAAGAGAACGAATGAGACCACTTCAAAATTATTTCACCTTTTCGCAAAGAGATAATATAAACAAATATTGAATCACACAATGAGCGTAGAACGAACTATTCTTTCGCTATGAAAAAAAGTTGTTTGGTTTCAAACTTGTATCCCTTTTAATATATATATTTTTTATTTTTAACACTAAATTATTTATCAAATAATAATAGTAGAAACAAATCTATCTGTAGATATATAACAAATAATATACAGGTGAGAGGGCTTGAAAATTTTCCCTCCGTATTTCTTAAATTTTTAAGAATTTAGAATCTTTTTAACTAAAAATCCTCCTATCAGATGCTATCATTTGTCATTTGTGACTACCCTCAACTCCCTAATAGTAAATCATTATTTTTTCAAAATTATAAAAAATCTACTTCTCAAGTAATAACATGAAAGAAAAAAGGGATAAATAAAAAAAAAGAGACCCAAATTATAATTAAGTTTATTGCACAGGGTGAGCTTGTAAAACTTGAAAATTTTATTAAATCAATTAAATGGTGATATGGTAATTAAGTTGTTTTAAGTATGAGTTAAAAACCTGAATTTTTATGTAACTTGGATGACGAAATAGACCTCACTATTGGATTCGTTTTGTGAAATCAAGTTGGACAGTTAATTTTTATTGAATTCTGAGACAATCAAAATTTTCATGTATTTCAAGAAAAATTGAGGATGCTCAATTAAAATTTCAGCGATCAGAATTTTAATTTGTGGGACTCATAGTATAATTAGAAGACCATCTAAATAATTTTATCCACTACGACACATGGTGCGTTGTGATTGGTTTTTGGAGATTTCAAATCAATGGAAAAGTGACACATGACAACTTATCCACCTAGTAAGGTTTATGTTGAAAGCGTTACACGCGTGCCGCTCGCCACAACCTGATTGAGTTTGGGTCTGGGCTTGACCCTTGGGTTAAAAAGATGTTGAAAGCCTTAGGTTGCGTTTGGTACAAGACGTTTTTATTTTTATTTTTATTTTTTTTCTGTTTTTTTTTCTCTTTGGAAAAATAAAAAATTAAAATAATTGGAAGCGTTAGAAGGACTTCAATGAGGTCCAACCTTTGAATTCTGTTAGCAGCAAACAACCAATTTTTTTTTTGGGCACATATATAAAGTCCTCAATCCTCATGTATCCTCTTTTTCTTTCTCTAATTCTCTCTCTCACAAACGACTTTCATCACCAAAGCTCTCTCTGACAATCTCACTTTAGCAAAACTCTTTCTAAGTTTAATGTTCGAAACATCTCTTTCTCTCACGGTCTCTCTCTCAAAGATCATTTACTGTATATAATCTATATATACCCAGATCTATATGTATATGATTGAAACATCTTGAGTGGAGGGGTTTGGGTGGTGGAGTTGGATGGTTAGGTGGTGGGTTTTTGGGGCTGGTGGTGGTGGGTTTTTGGGTGGGCTGGGTGGTGGGTTTTTGGGTGGGCTGGGTGGTGGGTTTTCAGGGGTGGTGTGTGGTGGGGTTTGGGTGGTTGGATGGTAGTTTTTTGTTCATTGGGTGGTGCATCCCCAATTGTATTTTGAGGAGTAACTTATTTCTTAAAAAATTAACCCAACAAAAAATATAATACAAAACATGTTTTTTTTTTTTTCATAATTTTTTTAAATATAAATGACTATCAAACATGTTTTATATTTTCAGTTTTTATTATGGAAAAAAATAAAAATTAGTTCTACTTTTTTTTATAAAAAATATATAAGAATGACAATTTTACCAAACACACCTTACTCTTCCATTTTGTTTCCAATGTGGGAAGGGAGAGAGAAAAAGCTTGAGAGTTCTTTAACCCATTTTCTTCTTCCTTGGCTTCTATCTTTCGATCCAACCATTGAAATTTGATCGGGCAAGAATAAAAGTTGTTCCACTCATCGATGGCTACGTATCAACACCAATCTCATCCATTTTCCACAAATTTCGGATATCAAGAGCTTTGGGGTAGGGCTTTGGGGAGCTTATTTTGGGCATTCTTGAAGATTTTCTTCTTTATTTATACTTCAAGATGTGAGGGTTTCCTCCTATTTCGGATCGCTTTCAATTCAAAGTATGTATATGATATGCGTAGAGTTGATGTAGAATAAATACTTATCTATCATATAACTAGTGTAGCTAGTGGAATGCTTGATGAATCATGAACATGCTAGACCAACTCTTATTTGATTTGGGTGTTGAACATGTTAAATATGTGCTATATGAGTGGGCATGTAATGTGTTTACATTTATGCTCTTATAGTGATTGATAAATGTCTAAGTGTATTCAAGCATGTTAATTAAGTAAATTCATGCTTGGTGGTGTGCTATGATGTTTATTATATTCCTAATCCTATAATTGACATGAAGTATCCAATTAAATTACAATTGTATATTACATTGCACGTGCATAGGTTAATCACCACATAGGTAAGTTGATGGGTGGGGCTCAAGAGGATTAGACCAAGGTTTGATTGAGCCTCACAGGATATTGCATGAATATGTGTCGGGGTATAGCAAAAAGAGATAGATCCTCCATTGGGTGCAAGACTCGATTTTGTTGGTCACACACTAGTCGGTGGTGTAACGAGTCTAATAAAATGTGTCGGTGTACTTGGAACCGGAGGTGGGATGCTCTCAAAATCCATGTCGGTTTGGTAGCCCGTTGGTGGAAGTCCAAGAATTACCTACCCCATAAAGATATGAAAATAAATAAATAGTACTTGGATGTGTATAGCATCAATGGCGAGGACTTGGAATGCCTGGTTTATGACACGACATTACATCATGTATCGTACATAGGAACTTGGGAATGGGTTCGGAGACGAAAATGCATTGTTGAAACATCATTCATAGTTGGCATGCTTAGTATCATTTACATGTTACTTGAGTTATATGCTTAGTGTGTTGAACGTGCATTCA